TGCTGGCTGCCAACGTCTTGAAGCAGGCAGCCAGGATCGTGATGGGGCTTCCACACCCCTGGTGACCTGTCATTCGGTCCCTGCTGGGCTCTGGTCTTCAACAGGCTATTTCAGGAAATCCAATTTGATGGCCAGAAGGAGCACAAGCCACACGTTCAGCCCCTGCGCTGGATCCAGGCTCCTCCTGTTTCTGCTCAGATCCAGATTTTAGCTTCTCCCGTGTTGGCAATAAGGGCCAAGAGTCACCTTTGGCTCCAGATCCAAATTTCTGGCTGGGTGGGATCCAGGGTTTCGGCTCAGCTTGCTGGAGAGATGCGAGCGTCTGCAAAACCTGGATCTGGAGCCCCAGCCCCCACCGCAGCAGCTCCACCTGGCCATGAGACCCCAGCACGGGGCCTGATCCTGCCCTTGAGGGTGGGCAGAGCTGGGGAGACCCTCACCAGCACAGCCACCAGCCACCCACACAGGCTCTGCATCCCACAGGTGCTGGCACTGCTCTGCCTCTGAGCTGCTGATGGAAGGGCCCCCAAACACCCCCAGGCTGGGCTTCCCAACACCCTCCACTCATCCCGTGCCTTGCCCAAGCTGCTGGGAGCCAGGCCCAGCAGGAGGATTGAGAGGGCTGGGGGCTGCTCCTCCAAGCCCACGTGGCACAAGCCTTGGCACTCAGGAGGGAGATTTGGGCACCAAGCTCAGCACCACCTCGCCCAGGCTTGGAGAGGGACACCACGGTTTTGTCACCCTGTTCACCAGAGCAGGGACACGTGGAGCTGGTCCTGGTGCCCTGGCTCAGTGGGGTGACAACACCCAGGGCAGCCCCAAAGCTGGCTCACACCAACATCTCCCCACGTCAGTGCTCCCACCACCGCCACAGCCAAAAGGGGCCCCTCCAGGCTCGGATGTTCCACGGTCACTTTGATGGCTATTTTTGCATTCCCAGCCCTGCCGGCGCTGTAATAAAGCTTGAAAGGGCTGACATGCTCCTTGCAGCCATGCCCATCTCCCAGTGGCCTTCCCCTGCTCCATCCCTGCACAGACAGAGTCCTCAAGGGCTGGGAACCGTGGATGCATTCAGGGGGGAACAGTGGAGCATGGGGCTGAGAAACTGAGAAAGACCAAAAATTACATCAATTTCCTAAAGGAGAATCTGCACTGCTGACTGGATCCTGCTCCCATTTACACCGAGCAAGGCTGCCTGGATTCCCACAGGGATAACCAACCCCCACCAGCCAGGCTCTGTCCCCTCTTCCTGGCCAGGGGACAGGCAGGGATCAGCTGTGGGCAGCACAGCCCTGGACCCCACGAGGGAGGTGACATGCAGGGCTGGATGTGACAGGATGGAGACACACCAGCGGTCCCAGCACCAACTTGCTCTGCAGGTTTGGCACAGGATGGAGGGACCAGACCGACTCCTCCAAGAAACCCCAACAGTCTGGAGGAAGGAAGGCAGCAGCAAGAGGGAGCAGCCAGACAGGGGCCCCCGAAGCTCTGCTTGCCTGCCAGGCTGGCTGGGACCACGGCGCCTGCATGCACGGTGATGGGCACAGCTCAGCACCCGGCCGGGCATGGTCCGAGCCGCCCCCACGCCGGCAGGATGAGGAGGGGGAGCCCGGTGGGTGGGGAGGGGTCCTGGGCCTGCCCCGAGCCCTCCGCAGCGGGAGAACGCAGGATGGCTGGCGTCGCCATCCAGGGGAGGCTGGAGGGGCTGCGGGCTGTGCCGCCCTCCCCAGTGCCTCGGGCAGCAGGAGATGGGGACCCCCTCTCCCCCACCCACGGGGGAATCCTGGCGGAGCTGAGCGCCACGGTACCGCTGAGACGCCCCCGGCCATCCCCCGGCTCCCTCCTCCCCGGTTCACCCCCGGACAGCCGCTCGGCGGGGCCGGATGGGTCCGCAGGTGACACGTCCCGTTCCCGCGGGGCCGGTTCCGCACGGCTCCGGTGCCTCGTCGGTGAGAGCCCCCTCCGCACTGAGCACCGCGGGCCCTCGGGACCGCTTCCCGCACCCCCCCCGCCCTCCCCGCTGGGCACGGCGGAGCCCGGGCACCGGCCCCCGCTCTGCGCTGGGCACCGCGGCACCCCCGGCACCGGGGCCGCCCCCGCCGCTCTTACCCCGCTCCCGCCTCCTACATCCTCCGGCGGCTCCCGGGCGGTTCCCCGACGGCCCGGCTCGGCCGCCCCCGGCCCGGCTGCTCCCGGCCCGGCTCGGTTGGGCTCGGCTGGTCCCGGCTCGGCCCGGGCCGGCGCCCCGCGCGTGGGAGCGCGGCGGGCGGCAGCATGCGAGTGGCGGCGGCCCCGCAGTGCAGCGCGGGCGGGCGCGGAGCGGCGGGAGCGGAGCGGGGCCGCCGCGGCGCCGCCAAGACACGGCGGTGGATTTTCCCCGGGAGCCAGAGCGGGCGGCGGCGGCGCAAAATGGCTCCGGTGCGGCTCTGCCGCCGCCTCCCGGCGCCCCGGGACCCCACGGGGGGGAAGAGCGGGGGCAGCCGCACGTGGGGCCGGGGAGATGCTGCGGGTGCGGGATGAGTGGTACCCACCCGTGGGCATCCCCCGAGGCACCCTGCGGAGCTGGACTGGCACCCAGACAAGGGGTACCCGCCCGTGGGAATTCCTGCAGAGCCGGACTGGCACCCAGACAAGGGGTACCCGCCCGTGGGAATTCCTGCAGAGCCGAACTGGCACCGAGACAAGGGGTGCCCACCCGTGGGCATCCCCCTGGATCACCCCAGCAGGCCGAGGGCACTCCGGGACTGTCACCCACGCCTGTCCACGGGCACACAGCCTGCCAGGGAGGGGACAGAGTGCAGGGACAGCCCTGGGGTACTGAGATAGCCCCGGGGTAGCCCCTGAGTGACAGAACAGCCCCGCGGTGCCAGGACAGCCCCAGGCACGGTGCAGCCCCCGAGGCCCAGCCTTCCCTCAGCAGACCCAGGGCCACCCGCTGCTGCCTGCCCACTGAGCCACTCACACCACACCCTGTAATTTGATAATAATTATAATAATAATAATTACAGCGAGCACGGGCTGGAAGTGCAGGAACAATAACCTGGGTAACGCCCTGCACTGTGGCAGCAGCAGCACGGTGGCACAAGCCCCATCCTGGTGCCAAGCTGAGCCCAGAGCACCTCACCAGGCCCTGCCCAGTGCGTGGGGGGATGTGGCCCAAATGAGTGCCCTGTGTGTGTTTTTAAGCAGTCTTGTCCATGTCCCAGTGCTGTGGTTCAAGTGACAAGGTTTTCCCACTGAACAGGACACCCTGGCAGAGGCAGAGCTGGAGCTGTCCCCACTCCTGGTGTGCAGAGAGCCCCCCAAAAGTCCTGGTGCCCCCAGGAAGAGATCTCCAGTCCCAGAGCCCACCAGGCCCTGTAGCATCCTGCATTGCTGGCACTGCTGCTCCTGCTGCAGGCGGGGAGCAGAGCTCTGCCCCCTCCTTCAGCAGTTATATAAAAGGATTAAAATTTAATAGGAACTTCAAAAGGGGAAGAACTGGGTGGTCGAAGGCAGCTGGCCTGGGGCCGGGTGTGGAGCAGAGGCACCTTGGGACACATCTCAGTTCTGCTGAGCAGCAGCACTGTGGCACATGGAGGCATCATCCAGCCATGGGGGCAAAGTGTCCAGGCAGCACGGGCAGCACGGGCATCCCATGAACCCACACTGGCTTTACTGAGCCATGGTGTCCCTAGGTCACAGTGGTGTACAGCTTCCATGGCACAGAGTCCCCATTCCCCAGGGTCAGCCCTTACCCAGCACCTCCACCTCTCTGCTGGCATCCAGGCAGCCTTTAATCATTGACCACCCACGGGCACAGCATCACCCACCCGTCCTGGTGCCCGCTGCCACCCTGCCCATCCCATCCCATGCCATGCCAGCAGTCCCCAGGCATCACATCTCCTCCAGCCCGGTTCCTTCCATGCACGTGGGTTGGAGTGTGCTGGAGAGCAGCCCTGTGCTGGGGGAGCAACACCCCGAGCTGGGGGGCAGCTGATGCACCCCTGGCCTCCATCACACCCAGAACCCGCCTGGCTGCACAGCAGCGGCTCTGCCCTCCCGCCGGTGCAGCGCCGGGAGCGGGGCTGTGCTGGCAGCAGGAACGAGCCAGGGCTGGGAAAACACCATCTCCCGCCCACACACCGCCCACGGCCGGCCCCGAGCCCGCTCCGCCGCCCCCGCCGCGCCGGGGCTCACGGGGCGGGGGCGGCGGGTGCGGGGTGGGGGCAGCGCCCGGCACGGCCGCCCCCGCATGGGCAGGGCAGGGGATGGGGCAGGGAACGGGGCAGGGAACCGGGCAGGGGGTGCGGGTCAGCAGCCCCGGGTGCAATGTCCGCCCCAATATCCGCCCTGGGGCAGGGTCCTGCTGTAGGAGCCGGGCTGGGATGGGGGCAGGGGCTGCGGGGGTCGGGGCTGCCCCATATCCATGGCACAGAAACCTCTCGGTGAGAGCCCAGCCAAGAAGCCTTTGGTTGGTTCATTTTTAATCCTGGCCAAGAGCAGGAGGGCTGCAGGCATGAGGCTTAGGGACACTGCAGGACATGATAGGGGGCCTCAAACAGCCCCTCCAGCAGCCCAGCTCATGCCATGAGGGTCTTGGGTCATGCGTGTCCCTGCAGGATGGGGATCCCCGGGAGACAACAGCAACCACCGAGCATCCCTCGCCATTCTGAGCATCCCTCACCACCCCACTGTGGCTCAGCTCCCATTGCTGGGTGAGTCCCTCTCCCAGCGCCGCTCTCCCAGCGCCAGTGCTGCTCTCCCAGTGCCAGTGCCGCTCTCCCAGTGCCAGTGCCACCCTGCCGGTGCCTGCAATGCGGGGGGCAGGATCCGTGCTCGAGCAGGAGCTGCGGGCGCGTGGGAATGCACAGAGAGCAGAGCGGGGTGGGAGGAGGGGAGCGCACGAAGCCGGAGCTCCCCCCACGCTGCTCCCGATCCCTCACCTGGCAACAGGGACCGGGTCCCAGCGGGAATGAGGCACCGGGGCAGGCGGGGGCAGGGCCCTGGTGCCCACCCCGCTAGGAGGAGGTGAAGGAGGATGCTCGGGCGGCGGGAGCTGGCCCGGGCGGGGCCGGCGGGGGCAGCGGGAAGCACCGGCCGATCTTGCGCAGGGTGCGGTGCAGGTCAGCGCGGAAACGCCGGATGGAGAAGCAGTAAATGACGGGGTCCAGGCAGCTGTTGAGGCTGAGCAGGGCCACGCTCAGCGTGTGCAGCACATCCAGGGTGTCGGGGGGAGCACAGAGAGGTGCGGGGGGCCGGCTACCCACCCAGGGGGCGAGCGTCAGGTGGTAGGGGGCAACACAGACAACAAAGACCAGCAGCATCCCCAGCACCATGGCACGGGCCTGCTGCCGGTGGGAGCCTGGCGAGGCAGCGGCGGGCACCGAGAGCGCCCGGGCGATGGAGGCGTAGGTGCCCAGCACCACCAGGAAGGCGGCGGAGAAGAAAGCCACCATGGCGTAGGCATAGCCCCGCTGCCGCCCGTGCTGCTCAAAGCAGGCGGTGGTCCCGGCGGGGGTGGGGAAGGTCTGGTGGGTGGCCAGGGTGGGCACGGCACAGCCCAGCCCCAGCAGCCAGGCCAGGGCACAGGCCAGAGCGGCGCCGCGGGGCCCCGGCAGCGGCAGCACCCGGCGCGCCGCCCGCACCGCGCAGAACCGGTTGAAGCTGATGAGGGCCATGAAGGTGATGGCGCTGTAGGTCGCCAGGTAGTAGGCGGCCCCTGCCAGGCGACAGGTGGCCTCCGAGAGGAGCCAGTCCCCCCCAGCCAGGTAGTAGTGGATCCAGAGGGGAAGGGTGAGGTTGAAGAGGATGTCAGCCAGCGTGAGGTTGATGAGGTAGATGCGGATGGCCTTCCTCACCTTGCCGCTCTGCAGGAAGACCAGCAATGCCACCAGGTTGCCCGGCAGCCCCACACACAGCACCAGGCAGTAGACGATGGGCACCAGCACGAACTGCGCCGGGTTGTTGGGCAGGCACGCTCCAGGGTGCTCCACCAGCAGAGGTCCCGGCACTGAGCTGTTCATCCCTGGCTCCTGCAAAGAGGGCAAACAGTCAGGGGCAACCCTTGGGGACAGGGGAGGGACATTGACCTGGACAGGACGACCTCTCTGGCTGGCACTGCTGGGCACTGAAGGCAGAGCCCTGAGGGGATGCCTTCATCTGCCAGAAGGGCTCAGCTCACACAGGAGAGGAGGAGACCCCAGCTCTGTCCCCCCACACAAGGGAGCCTAGAGGCCACTGTCAACTGCCCATCTAGATCCTGCAGGGAGTGGCAGGCACAGCTGCAGCACAGCCAGGGGACAGAGCTGCAGCCGCAGGCACCCGAAGGTGCCACGCTGGCTCCAGTCGGCAGCTGCAGGGCTTAACACCTCCCACACAGCACGTGCCTGTGGGGCCACCCACCCCAGCCCTCTCCCAGCACCCCAAATTCCCCATGGAGCCAGGCATGAGGAAGTCACTGACTGGCTCAGCGAGCTGCAGAATGGAGAAACCCAGGTAGGGACAGGGGGTACAAACAGGGGGCCAGCACCCGCCGTGCCCCCCAGTCCTGCACAGCAGGGTCTGCCTCTGGTCCTGGCCATGGGAAAGCACACTGTGCTGCAGTGGCTGTATCCAGGGCTGCAGTTACTTCACCTCCCATCACTGCCTGCCCACACCTCGCCAACGAAGGCACTGAGTCACCAGCTGGTGTTTTCCAGCACAGCAGGGCTGGATTCGGCACGCACGGCACCCAGCCCCAGGCTGAGGCATGGAGAGCACGAGCTGCTGAGCCTGGGGGACCTGAGTCTGACTCCCTCAGGGGTCCCCTTTTCCTCCTCCTTCCCCATCATACACACAGTGAATGCTCCATCCCACCCACACCAGGATTGTTACTTACCTTGGGTCAGGCGGGAGCGGTTCTGTCCCCTCTGGCTGCTCCTCGCTGTGACCCAGCCAGGCTGGGGACGGCTTTAAGTGCTGGGGGAGGCAGGGGCTGCCTGACCCCCACCCACTATCCCAAACCCCCCTGTGTTACTGCCTGTGGGACAGCAGCTGGAGTGGGGAGAGCACCTGTGTGTGTATGTAACAGGGAATTCCCTGCTGGAGCCACCCTAAGATCCCCTGCGCCGGCTGACGGGGCTGGGGACGTGTGGGAGTGGCCAGTACTGGCCTGGCTGACCCCCCTGCCGTGCCCCCAACCTCATCTAATTCCATTTCCCAGGGCCCTTCTCCCACCCACGCCTGGATGAAAGCAGCAGAGGGTCAGGTTTCTGCACCCAGCAGCTGGGGACAAGAGGGATGCCCCAAAGGGATCAAAGCAGGAATCTGCCTCCTCCTGCCTCTTTGTGCTTTTGTTGGCTTCAAAGCTGGTTTTAAGGGGAGCAGCCCTAGAGGCCCCCCACAAGATCTGTGAGCATCTGAGTCACTGCTTTGTGTGGTATGAAATTTGTGTGTGCTCTTTTAGGACACCAAAGATGTCACCCTGAGGTAGGTGACACCTAACTTCAGGTCCCACCAGGGGTACAGGGGTGACTTACACCCCTTGCTCATCCCAATAGCCAGACTCCCCACACAGCCATCCCAGCCCCCTTGCTGGGAGCCACTTCACGTGAGCTGTGGTTCATCCTGAGCGTGCTGTGCCCATCTGGGGTGGCAGAGGGTGGCTCCCTGTGGGAGCTAGATCCACAAAAAGCACATGCCTGCCTGGGCACTCGCTCCTGTCACTGCCTTGGTGTGCAGCAAGGGGCCCGGCACATTGCTGGGGGGCTGTGGGATCCCACCTCAGATGGGCTCTCCCCACTGTCCATCTGCCTCTGTGCCAGCTCCTGCACCAGCTCCCACACGTCCCCAGGCCTTGTGTCCAGGCACTGTCCCCAGGGACTGGGTTCTCCAGCCCCAGGACATCCCCTCAGCCCCCGAGGCTCAGCATGGGGGGGAAGCAGAAATAAACAGGGAGGCAAAACATGAAAAACAAGAGGTTTTATTCCAAAATTTGAAAGAGAGCAGAGCCAGCCCCTGCTTAGTGTGGCCAAACACTGGAAAGAGCCGGACACCTTGTGCGAGTTCAGCAGTGTCACAGCAGTGTCACAGTGGTGCCATGGCCACCATCCCACAGCACCAGCCCAGGTCCCACAGTGTGGGGACAGCCAGCACCAGAGTCACTGGCAGAGGCAGGAGAGGACACACTGTGTCTCATCAGCAAGGATGCGACGTCATCCCTGAAAATACCATAAAGGTGTTGCTCCCCAGCAGCCGAGCCGTCTGTCCTTCCCGTCTGTCCTTCCTGTCTGTCCTTCCCGTCTGTCCTTCCCGCCTCTCATCACTCGAACTTGGGCCGGGGGGCAGCTGGGTACCCGCGGATGTTGAGCAGCAGGAGGAGGCCGAGGGAGAGGGTGGCCGGGGCACACATGGCCAGCGGCTCCTGCAGCGCCAGCAGAGTGTAGATGGCACCTGGGCAAGGAGCAGAGCACAGGAATGGGGCTCTCTGGCCAAGGGTGTCCCCAGACCCCACGATGGGCAGTGAGTGCCCGCTGGCTCTCACCTATCATGACGACGCTGAGGATGAAGTTGCTGATCTCCTGCAGCAGCTGGGGCCCAAATGCCAGCAACAGCCCGGCCGTCACCTCCACCCAGCCCACGGCCGCCAGGTACCTGCCCGGCTCCGGCACAAACCCCAAGTCCTTCAGGGGAAACACCTTGGCAAAACGCACGAACTCCGATGCCTGGGAAGGGTGGGAGAGGGGTGAGGCAGCCCTGAGCCTGGGGCTGAGGAAATACAGCCCCTCCAGTGTGTCTGCTCTGCCCTGCCCTGTCTTCCAAGGGGATCAGCTCCGTATCCCAAATAACTCCAGCTCTGCATCCTAAATAACTCAACCACGCACCCTAAGGGGATCAGCCCTGCACCCCAGTGGGATCAGCCCTGCGCTCCAAGGGATTCTGGGCTGACTCACAATGAAGGGCTCAGCCTTGTACCCAAAGTGCTCCACCCTGAACCTCTGTAGTCCCAACCTGCTCATTCTCACCCAAGGCTCAGCCCAGCACCACAACAGGGTCAGCCCTGCACGTTTCCCCTGGAGCTCAGCCCTGCACCCCAACCTGCTCCTTTCCTTTCCCCTGGAGCTCAGCCCTGCACTCCAACCTGTTCCTCTCCTTTCCCCAGGGCTCAGCCCTGCACACCAAAGTGCTCTTTGCTCTTTGCTCTGCCCCCATGCTGCTCCTTCCCCCCGGGCTCGGCCCTGCGGCCCCCGAGCCCGCCGAGCCCGTGGCTGCACTCACCATGTGCCGGTGCAGGTCGGCAGAGAGCCAGTCCGAGACCTTCAGGACGCCCGTGAGGAAGAAGAAGAGCCCAAGCAGGACACGGAGGGCGGTGAAGGCCGCCGCCATGGCGGGACGGGCGGGCCCGGAGGCGGAGCGGGGCGGAGCGGCCCGGCCCCGTTCCCAGCCGGGCCCCGTTCCCAGCCGGGCCCCGATCCCAGCCCTGCCCCGCTCCGTGCCCGGCCCCGCTCCGTGCCCGGCCCTGTTCCCAGCCCAGCCCCGCTCCGTTCTGTTCCCTGCCCGCTTGAGCCCGGCCAAGCCCCGCAGGTTCAGGGACCCCCTCGCCCTTGGATGCTGCCGGGGCAGGGGATGCTCAGATGTGCAGCGTCACCCCCCAAGCTGTGACACGTCCTCCCCTCGAAACAGAGCTGGAGGAAAAAGGGAACCCCCCCACCCCGCAATAAATCCCACAGCTGGGGGGGGGCTCTGTGAGCAGGGTGATCATGGCAGCACCTGGGTGCGAGGGGCTGCGGGGACCGATAGCAGGCAGGGCACGGGCAGCGCTGGACACAGCTCCGGAGCAGGCAGGAGCCCATGGAGCGGGCAGGAGCCCATGGCGAGCGGGCAGGAGCCCATGGAGCGGGCAGGAGCCCATGGAGCGGGCAGCAGCAGCAGAGGATGCCCCGGCCCCAGCGAGGCCGCTCGGGGGGACGGAGGCGGCCGCGCTCCCCCGGGCTCTGCGCTCTCCCGGGCTCTGCGTCACCGCCCGCGCTGCTCCAGCACCAGCACAGGCCGAGCTCCAGGAACGGCAGCTCGGGATTGGCGAGAGCCGGGCCCCAGGGGAGCCGCGGGCGCTGACGTTTGTGTAATTCAAGTGGAAATATTTTTTTAATGCCAATAAATCATGAGAGCCTGAAGTGTTTTCCAAGCACGAGGAAGCACTGTGGGGCACAGAAAGCACGGCCAGCCTGGTCCTGCACTGGCCCCAGCTCGGCCACCAGGTTGCAGGGGCTGCCACAGGCACTGGTTGGACAGGGGCCAGGGGCAGTGACACTATTTTTACTCCTGGCAGCACATGATTCTTCAGCTGCTCGACATGATTTGGAGCTAGGGTTGGCACACCATGCAATGACAGCAACATGCCAGGGCAGGCTCCAGGCATTCACAGCTTGGAAGGCTCTTTGGTTAGAAAGGAATTGAAAAAATAAACATCAAAAACCTAAAAAACCGAGTGCAGCAACTCAGTAGGATCAGAGCAGCACATACTGCTCCCAGGATACTGTTCAAGTGTATCTGCTCTCTGATCTTTTATTGATTAGAGAAGATACTTAATGAACCATTTGGTAGAACAAGGTGTCAGCCTCAGCAGAGGACAGCCCAGGTGATGGGAACAGCCATCAGCAGCTGCAGGGAAAACCCATCCTGTCCCTACAGGACACAGGCTGCAGTTTGCTCCTAGCAGGGAGCTGAGGAGATGCAGTTCAGCCCATGGAATGCTGCAACACTTTCCCACAGGAAGCAGCCAGTGCTGCAACAGTGGAAATGAGGACAAGTTACCGGAAAATAACAGAATCTGAAGAAAAATTGTTGCACAAGCTGCAGTAGCTGTGGAGACAAAGACACTGAACCCCAGCCCCTGCAGGGCAGCTATTGAAGATCCACACAATACCACGAAGTCATGAAATGAGAGTGAAACACCTCAGATTGCCCTCAACCAGCACCCGATTGCCTGAGAGAGAACAGCAGCAGCTCCCAGTTGCAGCACCAACCCCCCTGCCATGAGCACTCCCAGGCATTCAGACCCCTCCCAAGTGTTTCATTCCACTTTGCCACATGAAATTCAATTTATTGTCATGTTTCTAACCTGGCAAAGCAGGTCCCAGCCAAATGCTGACAACACTTTGTGGCACTGTGGGAGGAAACCCTGCTACAATGAGCAGAGCCACCACTGGTGTATTTCAACATTTAAACAACTTGATATTTAAACAAAGGGTTGTATTTAATCAATGACAGCATGAACCACAGTGTATGTACACAGTGCAGCTGCCAAAGCATCAAGTGAAGCAATGTGAACCACTGCAATTTGTGCTGCAATAGCTAAATCCAGCTCTGCTCTGGCTCCTACAGAACTCTAACTCTTGGCATCTTAGGCTTAATTACTACAGTCATCACCAAGAAAGATATTAAAAACCAACCAGGCACAGGTAAAGATGTGGAATTCTACAAAACAAACTATGTAACATGCAAAATGGGAGTAAGGAATGAGTGAAATTTCCAGAAATTTGTGTTTCTCAGACCCAGCCATACTACTCCACACTGACAGACTGCTTATTCACTGAATACCCTCTGGAATAAAACAGAAGTAATTTATAAAAATATTTAAATATTTTATTTTTAAGAGCTGTGTGTTCCTGGTTCCTCTTCATTGCACTCAGACTTCTTTTTCTGCAAGTGCAAAGCACACAATTAGGAAGATTGTGGAAGAAAGACAAAAAACAACAGCAGAAACTACATGACATGGAATCATCATTCAGAATCACAGGCCATGGGCCTGCCAAATATTCTCAAGTATTCACATCAGATTTTAGATTAAATTAACAGAATTAATGTATTTTTAAGACCAGATATGGCTTTGTTTTCCTACCCCACAGCAAGGAGCAGCAGTGACAAACCACAGAGGATTCAACAGGAATTCACCCATTGAACCCCACTGGCTTCACACCTTACAGGTCTATTGTTACTCACCTGTGACTCCCGAGTTAAGGTACCAGCAGGTTGCTCCTCAAACAAGATTTTAAATATCTGAAGTTTCCCCTTGTAGTTTAGTGGCAAATTAGAGGGAAAATGTCATTAATTCCAGCTCTGCAAGTTGGTTTATTTCCCTGAACTGCTATTTGCTTCACTCCTATACATGCTGATTTATACACCAGGTTATTTTTTTAATTCATTGTTCAAGTGTTTCAGCAAATAGCTTTTTAACAAGGTTTAGTTGAATTAACATCTGAGAAGCAGCTGCTCTATTTTCCTTTTCCCATGCTGACAATCACCAACTGCAGCCTGAGTGCAGGAATGGTCATTTCTTGTATGACCACCTGCTGCACACAAAGGACAGAATTTATTTGCTGCTGCGGGGCTGAAAAGCCTCAGACAACGGTTACATTTTGGCTCTACAGAAGCAAGATGCAGAAACTTTATACAGAACTGAGATTAATCACATGTTTCAGGCAGGAATTACATAACCCAGCACAGGGTGATGGGCTAGCAGGCCCTCACAGCAGCATAAGGACAACAACTACTTACTTGTCCACCTGTTCCCTTGGTCCCTCCACACACCACTGGGCACCGTGCTGGATGTGCTCATGTTCAACTCCTCAACTGGAAAAACATTCCCAAGTTATTACACCCCCAAGTGATTTTGAAATCTTTTGTACAAACCCACGTCTAGAAAGGTATTTTTAGCTGATGCTGTCAAGATATCAAGCCCAGGTGGAGTCAGGGTGCTCAAGCCCACAGTGTGACAAGCTGGGACTGTGTTCTACCCTACATATTTAATGTATCCATTTTTCAGTGTTCCCCAATTCAAAGGTACTCAGTGACTGAACACAAAGTGTCCAAAAACCTTTATTATTTCACCCATCCAGGACAAAAAAAGCAATACTTACTTCCAATGGATGAGCACTCCGGTGTCACTCAGCTTTCATCTTCACCTAAAGGATAACAACTGAAGTTATTAGAGTCATACACAGAAAATTGTGACCATTTAAAAACTAACTTAAAAATAAGATTTTAACATACATGGACTGATTAGTTATGAGGGGGAATTTATCAATTATTCCAAACTATTACGTGGAAGAATAAGGGGCAGAAATAGGCTAGCCTGAACACTCATCAAGAGCTGAAGGAATATGCAGGCAGTTGCCTGAAGAACTGCACCCTGAGCACAAACCATAACCCCAGTCTGAGCACAGTGAGGTTTGATTGCAGCCAGAGGTATACTATCCCTTATGTGAAGGCTTTAATTTCATCAGCTACTCCAACTCTATGATCCTATTGGTCTCCTGTAGCAATGCCCTCTCTCTTCCCCTTCCTGAGGGAGTGCAGTGGTCCTGGCCTCTTGGAGCTCTCGTGTTCTACAGTAAAACAAGTGCTTCAGAAGCCAAAGGCAGACACTAGAGGTTGGCACTGTCACTGCTTTTATCCTCAGCAAGGTTCTTCCCTCCTCAAGGCCTCCCTTTACTATAGCTGAGGGCAACCTGCAATGGTGAAAGGTGGGGATGTGGTACAAGGCTCTGCACAGCTCCAGTTGGGAGGCAGAACCCACCCTGGGCACAGCATGATCTGACCAGGCAGGGACAACTTCAGGCCTTAGTCTCCAACCCACCACCCACCTGGGTTTCCTCACAGCCCCTGGGAGCAGGAGAGTTATGCACGTTTTGTTTTCTCTGCCATAGCAACAAACACCATGCATAAGGGATACTATATCTTTGTGCATCCTTTGAACACTGCAAATTCCCTGCTAGCCACACTCCTCCCAGCCCTCCCCAGTTAGCTCTTCAGTACTGGTGTTCAGAAGCAACATTTATAGAGAGATGGGGTGTTCACAGACCACTGCGGGATTGCACAGCCAAGTCCTAACGTGTCAATCATTACCTAGCAGCAATGACACAGCTGGGAGAAGGCCAATCCTCCCTTTTTTCCTTTTCCAGGCAGCAGCTATTTAACAGCCCCACTAGCTGGTATGGAGAGTGAAAAAAAATCTGAAGCTAATTAGCTGATTCCAAAACTTGCTGGTAGTGGAAGAAGCCAAGTGATTCCCCAGAGCAGCATACTTGGATGCATCCTTCCCAACATGCTCAGCCTCATTGAACATAATGGAACAGAACACTGGCCTTCCTGATCATGTCACTGCAGCTGGCAATGATTAACAGAGACATGCAACCCCATTACTGCTCCAGTCCTAAAACTACTCACAGGCCTCAGTGTTTAGCTATGGGGAGAACTGCAAGCAAATCAACACTTTGTATGCTTAATGTTACAATAAAGCCCCATCCACGCTGTGCTGTGCTCTCCTGCCAGCAGCAGGCTCTGCTCGGAGGGCCTAGCAGTACGCAGATGTATTCTGACACCAC